TGAGGTCATCAACCCCCTCCTCTCTGAACCTCCTAGACACGATAAACTAGATACAAAAAAAAAAAAATCAAATAAATATATCTTCTTAAAAGTACCCATGCTCCACTCTCTCGTTATTCTCAGTCCTTTTATCTTATTACTAAGTTCAAATTTCTGATTCTCATCAGGACTTAGATACTTGGATGGCCTGAATAGTCAGAATCTCAACTCTGCCCTGGTGTGTTGCAGCCTGAGAAGGGCTTTGAGAAGCAGAATGTAAGTAATGATACCAACTCAAGAATATTCTGGCTCTCTGGGCCTCGCTTCCAAGATGACGAAAAAAAGAAGGAACAACAGTCAAGCCAAAAAGAGCCACAGCCATGTGCAGCCTATTTGTTGCACAAACTTCACCCCATGTGTGCCCAAGGACAAGGCCATAAGAAGTTTGTCATTCGGAACATAGTAGAGGCCATGGCCATCAGAGACATTTCCGAAGCAAGTGTCTTTGACGCTTATGTGCTTCCCAAGTGCTATGTAAAGCTCCATTACTGCCTGAGTTGTGCCATTTACAGCAAGGTGGTCAGGAATCGATCTCGTGAAGCCCAGAAAGACCAAATACCCCCACCCTGATTTAGACCTGTTGGTGCTGCTCCACGACCTCCACCAAACCCAGTGTAAGGAGCTGGATACTTCCAGACTTCAGAAAAGCTGTCTTCTAGGAAAAACAAAAACTAATAAAATAGAAATTATACTTAAAAAAAAAGAATATTCTGCACCCCGCATTCCCACAGTGCAACAAGAACAACAAAACAACAACAACAAAAATAAGTTTGATTGGAAAAAGAAAGAATATTCTGAAGTCAGGTGCTGATGGCTTATGCCTATAATTCTAGCAACCTAGGAGTCTGAGATCTCAGAACTGTGATTCAGAGCCTGCCTGGGCTAAGCAGGAATACATTCCCTGTAAGAAAGTCAACTGTTAACTCCTGAATGATGATCTATTTGGAATACAATGTCTAGAAAACTCCAACCAAAGATGGCCACTGATGAAGCTGGTTAGAAGGGACCATGGTCTAGAGGTTCCCAAAATACCCACTGGCATTTAAGGAGTGTGGTATATCCTAAGAGAGTGAGCAGCAGGTGAGTGTGGCCCATGTCAGAACAGTGGGCTGCTGTCAGCACTGCTCCAGCACCAGATGCAAAATTGTCCCAGGACGGAGAAGGCAAAACCTCTGAGCTCCAACATGATGTGAAACTCGGTGGCTACCTAAAAAGTATAGCTTCATTCTGAAAGTATTTGAGAGTCTATATATTATTTTTATGTTATTCAGATCAAGAGTTAGTCAGCAGGGATCACTCTTATGACCTCTTTTTAGCTCATCTTTCCAGAGAAAACTTGATACTCACTGAATTCCTGAAGGGATTACATTCTGTAAAATGATCATCTTATAATAGAAAAGTCATTATCAGAAAAGCAGGATTTAGTTCAAATATATCACAGTTAATTACATACTTCTTTTAGAAAAAATTACCTTTCATAAGGATAAGACATAAGAAAAAAAAAAAAGGAAAAAGGAAAACAAATGAAAGAAAACTCTAGACATAGCAGTCAAATCTGGGATCCCAACTAAGGAAGCTGAACCAAAGCTCTTTTTGCCTACTGGGTTTCTAAGAAGAACAAGGGATTAAAATGGCTTTATTTCAACAGAACACATTTTGTCATTTCATCTCTCCGTGACATGGATAAGAATAAGTAACTTATGGCTGCACATTTGTTGCTGCTCACAAATCCCTGAATATGTGCCTCATTCACTTCAGGATGGCACACCACTAATTGCTTATCTATTTTTTTTCTAAAGCTATGTATAGCTGGGCACCAGTGGCTCATGCCTATAATTCTAGCTATTCAGGAGGCTGAGATCTGAGAATCATGGTTCAAAGCCAGTCAGGCAGGAAAGCCTGTGAGACTCTTGTCTCTAGTTTGGAAGTGGAGCTGTGGCTCAAGTGGTAGAATGCTAGCCTTGAACAAAAGAAGCTCAGGGACAGAGCTCAGGTCCTGAGTTGAAGTCCCAGGACTAGAATCAAAAAGCAAAAGAAAAAAGCTACCTGTAACCTTTATTTTAGAAGAAAAATCTACAAGTAAAAGTATTTCTAAGCAAGGTGCCAGTGGCTTGTACTTGTAATCCTAGCTACTCAGGAGGCTGAGATCGGAGGATTACGGTTCAAAGCCAGCCTGGACAGGAGAGTCTGTGAGGCTCTTATCTCCAATTAACTACCAGAAAGAAGAAGAAAAAAAGCCAGAAGTGGCCCTGTGGCTCAAGTGATAGAGCTCTCACCCTGAGCTGAAGAGCTAAAGGACAGCGCCCAGGCCCAGAGTTCAAGCCCCATGACTGACAAAAAAAAAAAAAAAAGTTTCCAGAAAAACATTGCAGGAGGGGACTTGGGGGACACATGAAAATAAAGAATAGATAACAGAATGTCAGTAATTCATACCTATAATATTAGTGACTCAGGAGCTGAGCTCCAAGGATTTGTTGCTGGTGGCAGTGATTGTGGGGCATGAACCCAATCCCTGGGTGGTATCTCTGAGCTTCTGTGTGCTCAGGGCTAGTGGTCTACCATTTAAACCACAGCGCCACTTCCAGTTTTTGAATGGTTAATTGGAGATAAGAGTCTCACAGGGACTTTTTTCCCTTCAAACCATGATCCTCACATCTCAGCCTCCTGAGTAGCTAGGATTATAGGAGGGAGTCAAGGTTTAAAGCTAGCCTAGGCAGAAAAATCTGAGACCCTTGACTATATAATCAGCAAAAACCTGGAAGTAGAGGTATGCTTCAAGTGTTATAGTACCAATTGTGAGTGGAAAAGCTGAGAAAGAACACAAGGCCCTCAGTTAAAGCCATAGTACCACCAACAACAACAACAACAAAGGATGTAAGAAAGGAAGCAGAGAAGAAAAACAGAGGCCCTGCCATGATAATGTCTCACAGTGATACATATGGAAGCTTAGTCAATGCTTATGACCAAAGAGAGATATCCCTAACATGTACTCTTCTTTTTTTTGGGGGGAGGGGGCAGTCCTGAGGCTTGAACTCAGGGCCTGGGCACTGTCCCAGGCTTCTCTGTGCTCAAGGCTAGCACTCTACCACTTGAGCCACAGAGCCACTTCCAGCTTTTTCTGTTTATGTGGTACTGAGGAATCAAACCCAGGGCTTCATGCATGCTAGGCAATCATTCTACCAGTAAGCCACATCCCCAGCCCCCCTAACATGTACTCTTAAAGGTGATATATCATTTGTACTCACAGTGAGAACCTCTCCTCACAGTCCAGTTGTTGGGATTTTGCCCTAAAAATTACCAGGATACAATCAAAGAGGTATACACAGAAAGTTCAACACAGTATCACTGGTAACAAGAAAAGATCCAAAACAATCAAAATTCTCAAGAGTGGGAATAGATAACTAAAGGAAGGCAGAGGTACTAGAAATTATTTTCAAAAATTTAAGGACGTATTAAATTACTTATGACACTGTGAGGAAGAAAAATTAAAATATCAATCTATATATGCTTTCCCTTCAATTTTGTTTAAATTATATAAACACATATATTATACTATATATTATTTTGCTATATAATAGTATAATATTCTAATTATATAGTATATCATATAACATTTATGTATAATTTATATCATATAGATATATATTTTTGGGGGGGTCCAGTCGTGGGGCCTGAACTCTGGGCCTGGGCACTGTCCCTCAGCTCTTCAGCTCAAGGCTAGCGCTCTACCACTTGAGCCACAGTGCCACTTCCAGATTTTTTTCTTTTGCTTATGTGGTGCTGGGGAATTGAACCCAGGGCCTCAGGCATGCAAGGCAAGTGCTCTACCACTGAGCCACCTTCCCAGCCCCAGATATATATTATTTAGAGAGAAAGAAAATTATTAGCTGGATGCTGGTGGCTTATACCTGTAATCCAAGATATTCAGGAGATTGAGATCTGAGAATCACAGTTCAAAATTAGAAAAATCCATGAGACCCTTTTCTCCAGTTAACCACCAGAAAACTGGTAGTAGAGCTGTGGCTCAAATGGTAGAGAGCTAGCCTTGAGCAAAAGAGCTCAGGGACAGCACCCAGGCTCTGAATTCAAGCTCCATGACTGACTAAAAAAAAAAAAAAAGAGACAGACAAGAAAATTATTAAGCATATTAGCAAGTTTATCTCTGTTCTAGATATAAGGAAGATGATTTTTATTCTTTTTGCCTAATTCTCAAAAATGAATATAAAAATTAATCTCTGAGTGCCATCTTGTGGCAAGTCTGACAAGTACCATGCCCAAGTACTTTGCTTCCTTCTATCTCCATGGTTCCATAGGCCCATGATAATTTCCTACATTGAGCACATTTCCTACATTTCTGAGTGGCTCGTATTGTTCTCAAGGATTTCTACTTTAAGTCTCTGAAATGCCTGTTTAAGGACAAATACAGGGTGGGTAAGGAGCAGAGGAAGTCTAGGCAATTTTTGTATGTGGTTACCAAACACAACTTGTGACCTGTTTCAAAATTTGTATGGCTGATTCTGAATCACTTTCAGAGGCTGATTTTTCTCATCCCTCAGTCCTCATACGAAGACATGAAAAATATCTACAAGGACAACTGAAGTGTACTGGTTATTGTGCCAACCGGAAACCAGTAAAGTTCCTGCAAGGCTCAGTGAAACAGAGCAGCAGCAGAGTAGAAAAATCTAGACCGTCACCTAGGATCTCATCCTTTTCAGCAGAGAATTGCTATGTAGATTTGAATCTTGAGCAGATTTTTTTTCTCCCCAAGAAGGCAGGATGTGCAGATGGGTTGGGTGGTTACAGAATCAGCAGCATACCATGTGTGTGTAGCCAGGCACACATACCGTGGCTCTGTCGCAAGGCAGGGACCTGTTGGACTAATAGCTCCTTACCTAAGAATACTTACTGCTTTTATAAAGTTACAAAGAAAGTTTCACATTTTCAATCAATGAGCCTTGTGCTTACAAGTAGTTTTATTTATTAATGTCAAATTATCACAAACTTGTGCACAATTCCAAAATAGAGTTCTTGTTGGATTCTGACCATAAAATTCATTTTTTAACTTGTTAAGATCCTGCAAAAGAAGAAAGTCTTCCTAATAGTTTAGAAAATACTAGTCACTAGTAAATTGATTTCATTGTCGAAGTAGTCGCCTAACATTTTAAAAGATAAAACATTAGCCTTTAAATGCTTAATATTAATCTTGATGTCCCAGGCTTCAGATGAAGTGACATCCTCATACTACAACCTGTCCAACAGGCTCTGGGAGTAAATTAAGTGCTGAGAATAGTGAAAGTCTAATAGTGAAAATCTAATGGAGCATAGAACACTAAGGGGAGCTGATACTAAGTCTGAGAAAAGATAATCTTCCTCTCAGAAAATGATTATTCTGAAAAGCTTATGGTCTGGGCAGAAGTGTAATAAACAGGCAACAAATAGCATGAGAAAAAGCATGCAATGTATCAATGCTCTCCTGAGAGAGGGTGTGTGCTTCTGTCTGCCCCCTACCCCCTACACAAGGCTGAATGCTTATTTTTATAAAAGGATTTCCCCAGTGTTAGAGTGGAAGCACAATGTAGAAAGTCACTGCTTTGGTCCCATATGTGCAAAGGGGAGTATTTTCAATTACATGAAACAAATGGAAACAATCAAGGTGGGATGGAGCCAAACTAGATAAGTTATGGGAAATGAGAACTATGAGGTTGAACTGGGAAAATGAATTTGACTCCTTGGTCACTTTTTCAATATCAAGAAGAACATTTTCTCCCTCCTAACCTGACTGGACTGATAATACTGGACAGCCCCCATAAGAGATAAACCAACACAGTGAGATAAATCAACAGAAAACAATAACAAATATCTTCTCATAGTCCCAACAAGTCATTTTAAGTCTTCATTTTCCTTTTTCAGAGAGAAAACCAAAAAAGGAGAATATAAACAAAGGCCAAGCCTCATCATCTACAAAAATAAAAGAGGAAAGAGGAAAATAAAAAGAATACTGATACTTCCCAGTTAAAATTCAAAACCACAAGCTGCTCTAAAATGACAGCCCTGCTCCATCAGAAGTACCCTGGGATTTGTGTAGGTTAGAACTTTTGTGTGTTACCCAGGCTTTGATCACTGATGATGTGTTAAAACAGGAAGAGATGACTTTTCCACCTTGACTCCACCTTCCCTGACCTAGGCAGAAAGCCAAAATCACGACAGCTTGATGGGAAGATCCTCTCCATATTTACGGAGCAGCTTCTGATGGTTGTGGTCCACTGACCACTGCTGGGGGAGATGCTTGGGCTGCATGGAGTCCAGGAAATGCTGTCGCCAGCGGCTCTCCAATTGCATGAGGGAGCGCAGCCCACCCTGGCTGTGCCTCTGCACCACCTTCAGCCCATGAGGAACATAATTTTCATTGGAAATCCTGCCAAGACACAAAGTGCAAAGGGTCTGAGGGAGATAAATACACAGAGTCTCACAGACAGCTTCAAATACTACAGGCCACACAGAAATGGGAAGTGATGGGCTGGTAACTTTGAGGGTCTCATAACATCTTTCTTTTCTCTCTCCTTCTCCCTCACTCTAGTTTAGACATATGGTTCACAAGCCAGCAGAAGGGGGGAGGGCGCAATGAGTTCTGCTTATAGAAAGGCTGTGCCTAATGCTCAGCCCCAGTAGCGATGCCCTACTGTCTGGCAGATGGTGGGTGAAGAATGTTGGTCATGTTGTTGTTGTTGTTGGTGGTCATGGGGCTTGAACGCTGGGCCTGGACACTGTCCCTGAGCTCTTCAGCTAAAGATAGTGCTCTACCACTTAAGCCACAGCACCACTTAGGGTTTTCTGGTGGTTAGTTCGAGATAAGAGTCTCATGGGCTTTCCTGCTCGGGCTGGCTTTGCACCTCAATCCTTAGATCTCAGCCTCTTCAGTAGTAGCTAGGATTACAGGCATGAGCCTCGGGCGCCTGGCTAGAATGTTGATCTTGTACTTATCAAAAGTTATTCAGGAACCCTCAGGACAAAGCAACTCTGCTTATTCCATTCAATGGGCCAAGACCCTGGAGTGCAGGTGAGATAGGAAATGTGACTGCATTAGACAAAAATCTCACAAACCTGTGTACAGGGTTAGAAACACAGTATGATCTGTGCTCTACTTCATAAGGATCTTCAAAGGTATTGGAGTATTACTGAACTAATGATTCTTAGCTTCTGTATGGACTTCAGGACTTTCCTCTGCATAACATACACAGGTGCAATTCCACTGCACTGAACTCTCAAGCCATGAAAAAGACTGGACCAAAAGGGTCAATAACAGATAACATACTTCACACAAGACAATTCTCTATGAGAAGGAAATTTTCAAAGAGACTATTTTGTTCCACCCCTGTGGTATCATAAACTACTAGACACTGTGCTAGTAAGCAGTACGTAAGTGGCAAGTGCTTGTCCCTGGCAGGCATTGTCACAAAGTAGTAAGGGTTAATATCGCAGGGTTATTCCTTCTGTGCCCAGAACAGTAGGTTGTACCTTGTCTCCAAGCTGGCAGCCTCTTGAAGCATCTCATCTGTAATGGTGTCTGTGCTATAAAATTCTCTGAGTGCTTGTAGCAGCTCCTCCTTCCGATGTGCAGGCAGGCTCTCAGCATTGAGCAGAGCCCTGGCCCCAGAACGCACCTGCCGGCGCTCAGAATCCTCCAGCAAACGTAAGCCCTCCTCAGAACCAATGGGGGCCTGGAACTCCTTGGCCAGCTGCTGCTTCAGATGGTTGTCATAGTAGTTGGAGATAGCATGGCAGGAGGTACAGAGCAGCAGCACATCATGGGAATTGTGGTCTTTCATGTCAATGGGGAAGTGCTTCCGGTACTCATGTGGAATAACATTCTTCCTGGAAGAAGCAGTGCTTATTAGCATATGGCATGCAGCACACGTGGAGCCAGAAGGCTCCTGGGAGACAGACCTGAGCCTAAACATGACTGAAAAGCTTTGGGCACCACAATCCAAAAGAGATTCCATTAAAGTAATAGTACATATTTTTCTCTCAGCCTTAACTATGCCCTTAGACTCCTACCTATTGCTTTATTACTTGCCTGTGCTTTAGGCTCTCCTCTCCTTTAAAGTAAGTACAGACTGTCTGCTGTCAGGCTTCAATTGAGGAGGGCTGGGCATATACAGGTTAACAACAACCTTTGAAAGAAGCTGTGATTCCAGAAAGCCCCAGAAAAATGATAATACACTCTACTGGCCTTTGAAAAACAATTCTCTTAAAAAAAAAAAAAAGGCTAAGGGGCCTGAGCAAGCCAACTTTCTTCATCTGAGGAATCGCTTGTTCTGACACCATTTCCCTGCTTTACCAAGGCCTATCATTATTTTCTAGAGAGAACTAAGCTCTCAGCAAAATATTTTTGGCAGCAAGAACTATTTGTCTTGCTTTGAACGAGGAGAAAGGAGGAAAGTGAATTACTAAAGCCAAGGGCGGAAGCAGTCCTTGGACTGTGAGTCTGAGGCCATTCCAGGCAACATAATGAGACACAATCTCAAAAATAAATAAAAAAAGAAAAAGAGGGAGTAAAGGAGGAAGGGAAGGAGATAGGGAAGGAGAGAAGGAAGAAGGGAAAGGAAAGAGGGAAGAAGGAGTGAACGAGCTCGTGCCCAATAGGCAGCCTCACCTTCACTATATGAGGACCCTGATGTAAAAGAGAAGCCTCTGAGAAAGTTTGAAGCCTTAGGGAAGATTATAAGGACATCGTTTCTGAAGGAAGTGGTCTTCAGTTCTTATGAGCAGGAGAAAATCACTTTCTCAGTGGCTAATGGTTACTGAAAATAGTACTATATTCCAGTGACTAAGATCTGGTCATTGGTCATTAGGGATAGGAGCTGCTGGAGAAGCTCCTGGAGAATCTAGGACACCCTAGGGTTAAGCCTTTTAGCCACAGTGTGCAGATCCAAGCAAGGCCTTTGAGGGGCTCTGGACTTGGTTACACCGGCAACTTCCACCTAAGGCAGAAAACAAGGGCAGCCTAACACCACACTCACCGAATGTAGGAGTCTGTCTTGCCGCACACTACACAGAGGTTCTCCTTAACCATCAAGTAATAGTCTCCTGGGGATTCAGGTCTTCCTGCAGGTTCAAACTGTAGCCTGACCACAAAAGGGTCTTCACTCACCAGCTCTTAGGGAAAAGATAAGGCATCAGTGTTGGGCTGTTCTTCCACCCACCAAGAAGCATCATCTTTACTACTGTCTGTTGTGTTCTAGCACAGACTAACAGAGTGGGGCTATGACTACTCAGACCCATATACCTCAGGGTCTTTCTGCCTGCTTCCTGTCGACCCACCCTCTACCTAGTCCCACTCCCACCAGTACTCATATGCACCTAATTAGAGCTAAATTATGACAGCTGAATCTCACACCTCCAATCCCTTTGTCCAGGTACCACTGAGCTTTTCTTCTATCACAAGTGCAGAGGGGCTGTCCATCAGGAGCATGAAGAAAGCAGTTATCATAAAGAGGTGATTTTCTGCAGGGAAGAGAAAGAGAAATCTCACATTGAAAATCAGATTTCTTGTGTATCTAGAATGACACTAGTTTTAAGCCAATGTTTTTCTCTAGCCAATGAGAGTTTTCTTGTGTGACTTACTCCTCTGTCAGTACTTGGGATGGAAATCTGGACCCTGTAGCAAAATGCCTTTAGGAATTGGGCACTTTAGGACTTGACTACTGCTGTTGCCTTCTCATTCTTTCTTCTGAATGACTTGAACTATTCTCAGTGCTAGAGACAGACATACCAGATTAGAAAAATCCAGGAAATAGCTGGGCGATGGTGGCTCACGCCTGTAATCCTAGCTACTCAGGAGGCTGAGACCTGAGGATCGGTTCAAAGCCAGCCCGGGCAGGAGAGACCGTGAAACTCCTATCTCCAATAAACCACCAGAAAACCGGAAGTGGCGCTGTAGCTCAAGTGGTAGAGCGCTCGCCTTGAGCTGAAGAGCTGAGGGACAGCGTCCAGAGTTCAAGCCCCACGATCGACAAAAAAAAAAAAAAAAATCCATGAAATCTTTGTCTCCAATTAGTTTACCAGAAAACTGGATGTGAAGCTGTGGCTCAAAGAGCTAGAGCATTAGCTGAAAGTGAAAAAGAGTTCAAGCCCCTCAACACTCACTCTCTCTCTCTCTTTCTCTCTCTCTCTCTCTCACACACACACACACACACACACACACACACGAAACAAGAAAAAGAAAAACCCAACAGGGTAACAAACAGCTAGGAAGCATAGAAATGAACTAGTTGATGCTGCCAATTTTTATACTTATGAACTAGGACATTAAGGAATGAGTTGGGTAGTATTTATATAGCTCTGCGGTAGACACAAGTTGGAACAGAGCAACAAAATAAACTTGTATCACTAGATTAAATAAAGCAAACTAAAACTTTTAAAGTTCAAGATAAAGTACTGAGGGCCATATGGATTTACTTCTGGCTTACAAGCAATACTTCTTTCAATTTAATTACGCACTTTCTAAAGGCACCTTGCTAAAAGGATCAAACTTCTACTCCCAAGTACTTACTAGTCAGCCTCCTATAACAAACATGTAAGTTGTACAAGAAAATCCTCATTGGCTAGAGAAAAATATTGGCTTAGAGCTGAGTAGCATTCTGAATAAAAAAGAAATCTGGCCGGGCGCTGGTGGCTCACGCCTGTAATCCTAGCTACTCAGGAGGCTGAGATCTGAGGATCGCAGTTCAAAGCCAGCCCGGGCAGGAGAGACCGTGAGACTCCTATCTCCAATAAACCACCAGAAAACCGGAAGTGGCGCTGTAGCTCAAGTGGTAGAGCGCTCACCTTGAGCTGAAGAGCTGAGGGACAGCGCCCAGGCCCAGAGTTCAAGCCCCACGACCGACAAAAAAAAAAAAAAAAGAAATCTGATTTCTTCTGAAAAACATAAGGTACTTCATGTTGTTTTCATGCTATTCTGAAGCAACCAAGGAATAATACTTATACCTCTGTTTGCAAGTGAAAAAATTACAGGTCAAGGAGCAGGTGACAAAGCTAGGCTAAGCTCTCCTCACTTCCATTTCAATTGTCAAAGAGAAAAGTTAAACTGAGAAAGAAGAAAAATAGACAAAATAAAGGAGATTTCAAATGTCCCTAAAGAGCCAGGCGATGGTGGCTCATGCCTGTAATCCTAGCTACTCAGGAGGCTGAGATCTGAGGATCATGGTTGAAAGCCAGGCCAGGCAGGAAAGTCCATGAGACTCTTATCTCCAATAAGCCATCAGAAAACCGAAAGTGGTGCTGTGGCTCAAGTAGTAAAACACTCACCTTGAGTGGAAGAGCTCAGGGAACACACAGGCCCAGAGTTCAAGCCCTTCCACCACCAACAAAACAAAACAAAACAAAACAAAAAAATCAAATGATCTTAAAGGCAAGGAGGGGCTAGGAAGGTGGCTCAGTGATAGAGTGCTTCCTTGCATGCATGAGGCCCTGGGTTTCTCAGCAGCACATAAAAAAAGCCAGAAGTGGCACTGTGGCTCAAGTGGTAGAGCACTAGCCTTGAGCTGAAGAGCTGAGGGACAGTGCCCAGGCCAAGAGTTAGGTCCCACGTCCAAAAAAAACCCCAAAACCCCAACCCAAAACCAAAAAACAGATCCTAAAGGCAAGGAAAGTAAGGATAACTCCTGAGGATCTCCACTATCCGACCCAAACTGTCTCCATGAGCCATTGTAGAGCTGGGTCCCTGACTCTTCATTATCAGAGAACAACTCAGTTACCTGGCAGAATAGCCCACTCCCAGGGGCTTTCTTTTGTGCTTCCTGGGGTCTCTCCCCTGGTGGTTTCCTGGCACCATTTCATCAGTCTTACACTTTTTATTTCTTGGCTTCTGCTGAAACTCTGTTGTTTCCCCATTAACTTCTTCTCCTAATCTGCTAAATGCTTTGCTTCGAAATGGGACGTCTACCATATTCTGGCATTTCTCCAAGACATTTTTCCAACTGATACAGTCACTGTTTCCTTCTACTGGTGAATTCTTGGAGAAAGGGTATCCAAGAAGATGGAGAAAGAGAGCCACTGAGATCTGGGCATCTCTGGCAGCATAAGTTACCTAAAAAGAAAAGTCAGAGATCAGGGGGATATGAAAGAAAAGCCAGAGATAGCAACTTCAAAAGTCAATCATAAAAATATACACAATGTTTAGGATCATAACTAAAAATACATAATAACTGAGGTACTATGTAATTCTTTAAAAATTCCTTTTTCTCCCACAGTTTTTATTATCATCAATTGTAATTGTACAAGGGGGTTTCAGTGTGACACGTCCATATATGCATACAACATACCCTGATCAGATTAGGACTGGAAGGAACACAACTAGCAAGGTACCAGTGGCTCATGCCTATAATACCTTTCAGGAAATGAAATCTGAGAAGCTTGGTTCAGAGCCAGTCTGGGCAGACAAATAGGTAAGACTCCTATCTCCAAATAACCAGAAGAAAATGAGAAGTTGAGGTATAAAAAAAAGTGCCAGCTGTAAGTGAAAAAGCTGAGCAAGCAAGTGTGCAAGGCCCTGAGTTCTAGCTCTAGTACCAGCATAAAAAAGAAAAGGAGAGGGAGGAAGAAGAGGAACATACCTGAACTTAAACTGAAATAATTTCCCCTAAGGTCAGGAACATCCACTCTCTCCACTCTTGTTTAATATGGTACTAGAATTCCTAGCCTGAGCAATAAGACAGAAGAAGTAAAAGGAATTCAAATAGGGAAAGACATCAAGTTATCCCTATTTGCAGATATACACTTTTGCCAAATAACTTCTAAAACTGATAATTTCCTTTAGAAATGTAGCAGGATACAAAAATCAATACTCAAAAATTAGTAGCTTTTCTATCTACCAACAATAAACAGGTTGAGAAAGAAATCTGGGAAATCTCGTTTACAGTAGCCTCAGAAACAATAAAATACCTACATATTAACTAAGAAACTGACAGACATCTACAGGAAAAACTGCAAAATCTTGAAAGAAATTGAAGAAGATAGCAGAAGATGGAAAGAATTTCCGTGTTCATGGATTGACAGAAATGACATTGTAAAACTGAGCATACTGTCCAAGGCAATCTACAGATTCAATGCAATACCTTATCAAAATCCCATTATCATTCCTCACAGAATTAGAACAAAAATCAATAAAAAAATTCATATGTAGGCACAAAAGATCCCAAACAGAAAAAGCAACTCTAAGTAAAAGAGCACTGCTGAAGGGACCATAACACCAAGCTCTGATCACTACAGAACCCTAACAACAGCCCAGAGAAACAAAAACAGCTTGGTATTTGAAAAAAAATGTAACCTAGGCAGAAAGCAACCCCAAAGAAAGTAACCCAAAAGACCACGCGGACTTAAGTCAAGTAGAAGAAAAAGATTTATTGCCAGCAGAGCTGACAAGGAAGGGAGAAAATGACGCCGTGGGGCTACTTGGAGGCCCCTTTTATATCGTTGGGGGCCGGAAGTGAGCGGTGCCTGCCTCACCTACTGCACAGGTGCTACCGTGGAGGGTGGAGAATAGGTCTGCGAGGTGGGCATTTCCTTACAGTATTGGCACAAAAACCCGAAGGCCAATGGAACAGAGTAGAAGAACAAAACTACACAGCTACAGCCAGCTAATATTTGACAAAGGAGCCCCAAACAACCAGTGTCTAAAACAAAAGACAGCCTCTTCCACAAATGATAAGAAAACTGGCTATCTGCACCGCATGCAGGGCGCTGGTGGCTCACGCCTGTAACCTAGCTACTCAGGAGGCTGAGATCTGAGGATCATAGTTCAAAACCAGCCAGGGCAGGAAAGTCGGTGAAGCTCTTATCTCCAGTAAACCACCAGAAAATCGGAAGTGGTGTTGTGGTAGAGCGCTAGCCTTCAACTGAAGAGCTGAGGGACAGACAGTGCCCAGGCCCAGAGTTCAAGCCCCACGACCGACAAAAAGAAAAGAAAAAGAAAACTGGTTATCCACATGCAGGGGACTAAAACTGGACCCCTATCTCTCAACTCAATACAAATATCAACTCCAAATGGATCAATGAACTCAAAATAAAATCTGAAACTTTAAACCTGCTCCAGGAAAACATAGGGAAACTCTGGAAGCTATAGTCTCAGGTAAACATTTTTTTTGTTTTTTGGTCAGTTGTGGGTGCTGTCCCTGAGCTTTTTCACTCAAGGCTAGTGCTCTACCACTTTGAAGCCACAGTACCACTTCTGGTTTTCTGATGTTTAGTTGGAGATAAGAGTCTCACAGACTTTCATGACTGGGCTGGCACTGAACTATGATCCTCAGATCTCAGTCTCCTGAGGAGCTAGGATTACAGGCATGAGCCATCAGCAGCAGGTGGCACACAAGTAAGTATTTCTGAACAGAACTACAGTTGCTCAGAGCACAGGAGCAGGAAATGGCAAGAAGGACTGTACCAAATTAAAGAGTTTTTGCAGGGCAAAATAAACAGTTGCCAGCCAGTGGCCCACATCTATAATCATAGCTACTCAGGAGGCTGAGATCTGAAGATCAAGATTAAAAGCCACCCTTGACAGGAAAATCTGTGAGACTCTTATATCCAATTAACCACCAGAAAACAGGAACCAGCGCTACAGCTGGAAGTGCTCAGGTAGAACTCCAGGCTTGAGTGAAAAACCTTAGGGACGTGCTCAGGCAAAGTTCAAGTCCCACAACCAAGTTCAAGTCCCACGACTGACCAAAAAAGAAGAAGAAGAAGAAAAGAAAAACAGTTGCCAGAACCAAGAGACAACCTACAGAGTGTAAGAAAATCTTTGTCAGCTATTCAACAGATAAAGGATTAATATTCAGAATATACAAAGAACTCAGAAAATTAAACAGCAAGAGAATAAAAAACACAATAAGTGGGAAGCAAACTAAACAGTTATTACAAGAAGAAACACAAATGTCTAACAGATAAAAGCTGTTTATATTGTTGCTTAGCTATAAATAATATCAATATAAGTTCTGGATGCTGTCCTTATAAAAAATGATTTACCTCTACTGGGAAGATGGAGTAAAGGTACTTTAAAGAATACTAAGTCATATCTTTCAGAGTTAGAAGTCAAAAGATCTAAGAAGATCAAGGATTAGAGAATAAGCCAGAAAAATGATTACTTCTCATAATGGTGTGTGTGTGTGTGTGTGTGTGTGTGCACTGCCTCTGAGCTTTTTTTGTTCAAAGCTATCATTCTACCACTCATAGCTTTTTTTTTTTTTTTTTTGGGGTTAAACAGAAATTAGTAGCTCACACCTGTAATCCTAGGTACTCAGAAGGCTGAAATCTGAGGATTGTAGTTCAAAGCCAGCCAGGGCAGAAAAGTCCGCATGAAACTTTTAACTCCAATTAACCACTTAAAAACTGGGAGTGGAGCTATGGCTCAAAGTGACAGAAGGCTAGCCTTGAGCAAAAGAGCTCAGGGACAGCACCCAGGACCCGAGTTCAAGCCCCACAATGAACAACAACAAAAAAGTCTCAAGGACTTTCCTGCTCAGGCTAGCTTTGAATTGTGATCCTCAGATGTCAGCCTCCTGATAGGCTAGGATTATAGGCATGAGCCACTGGTGTTTGGCTTATAATCTCTTTTTTTTTTTGTCAGTCGTGGGGCTTGAACTCTGGGCCTGAGTGCTGTCCCTCAGCTCTTCAGCTCAAGGCTAGTGCTCTACCACTTGAGCTACAGCACCACTTCCGGTTTTCTGGTCGTTTATTGGAGATAAGAGTTTCATGGATTTTCCTGCAGGGGCTAGCTTTAAACCTCAATCCTCAGATCTCAGCTTCCTGAGTGGCTAAGATTACAGGTGTGAGCCACCGGTGCCAGGCTTATAATAAGTTTTATAACACTATAAGGTGTTTATTTGTTTAATAGGAAGGTACCTTTTAGGTTATTTACTTATCTTTTTTTTTTTTTTTT